AATTTTGTAATCCTTTCTCATTTGGAAATTGCATTATTCTTTGATTTGAAATTTGGAATAAAATGATTTATGTGCTAAATCTGGAAAGATATGGTTCTTTCTCATAGAATTTTTAAAATAAAAGTTTCTTCTAGGTGTTATATAGAAACATTCTGTTAACTAATGATAATGTAGAAAATTACTGTTTTTTTAATAAATTAATAATTCATATTTTTGGCCAAATGATTATTGAATGCACATTTCAGTTCAACATACCTGCAGATTTATGTTTTTTAAGAGATTATTATATTTTTGTTCAGGTTCATGCTGTCAATGTGGTAAATTCAACAGCTCTTCAAGGAAGTGATATGAGGGCACCTATTGTTTCTGGTCAGGCGAAATATCTTGACCTTTTAGCCAGGTACCATGTCCTGAAGCGACAGCATCTACTTGCCGCTCATGTGCTGTATAGGTTGGCAGAAAGGCCATGCACTGACACTGAGGAGGCTCCTACTTTGCATCAGAGGTCAGTGGGTGATAAATTTAAACTTTATCCTCTTCAAGTGCCGAAGTTGCAAATTTTGGAACACTTTTTAGGGATCTTTTACAATGATTCTTGACTAACAAATTCTTTATTGTCTAAACCAGACTTCAATATCTTAGCAATGCAATTATTCAGGCAAAAAGTGCGAGCAGCACTACAGGTTCAATTAGTTTAAGCAGAAATACTGTTGATGATAGCTTACTTGACATGCTTGAAGCAAAGCTTGTTGTTCTTCAATTCCAAATCAAAATTAAAGAGCAGCTGGAGTTGATAGCATCAAGTTTAGAAAACATGCCAGGTGGGAATGAGTCACTTCCAAATGATTTTTCTCCTAGGAGCAACCTGGTTGTTGAAGATGAAATTGCAAGGAGTGCTCAGGAGAAGGCTAAAGAGTTATCACTGGAATTGAAGAGCATTACTCAGCTATACAATGATTATGCTGTTCCATTTAAGCTTTGGGAGGTATGGACACTTTGAAATTGCTGATTTTCCTTTTCATTAATTGCTTTAGGGTTAATGAAGAATAGTCTCTTGATAGATAATTTCAAAAGGTACAGTGATATATTCAAATAACAAATTAAGTCAGTTTGGTATGATTGTTTTTCCTATTAGGTAGCATGACTCAAATTCAAAAAAAAATATGAAAAGATAATTTGACCTTTCTGGTTTTGTGTCAATAATATGGCATTGACTGGACGTAAGCTTGACTCAACCCCTAAACTAAATATAGCACATTCCAGGCTTTAGAAACCATGCTTGCATCACCTGAAGGATGAACTAACAATCTAACATAACAAAGATGTATGGGGTAATGCTTTGACTCACTATGTTGTTCAGTTGTTCTACCTGTATTTGAATTAGAGAACATAGTTCAAGGTCAATCATAAAATCATGTGTTGAATCTAATTAGTTATCTAAATGCAAAGTAGCACAGCTATCTAAAGCAAATAGCATGGCATATACTTGTCAGTATTTTAATGCTAAGTCATGCGTTCTTTTTGGTGGGGGTTTGGTAGAATATGTTCATGGAGTTACTATAATTTTTACAGTTTGATCTCCTTTCTTCCTACATAATTGAATCTTTCTACCAAATAAAATGGAAAACTGTCAATGCAAACAGTGTTATTTACTCTAGGATTTGGTACATGAATGATGTGATTGCCCTGGCATGGCTGCTTTATGACATGGAAATACCTAAAATATTACCAACTCTGAAAGCTAGGTAATGGTTTATTCTGAGTTGTTTTGTTCATCCATTTCTTCCTCCCAAGAGTAGTATTTTAATGTAAGGGGAGAAGTGTCTAATTGTCTTTTTAATCAACGTGTTCTTTAGAACCCAATAATCTCTTGATACAGATGGTAATAGTTATTGTCTCATCCGATAATTTTTTTCTTGTTAATTTCTTTCTTAGCAGCCATAATAAACAATTTATAGGCATTGGGGGTGCTTTTTTCCTTTTCAGTTTGCAGACTTGAAGCACGTTTTAGACTGTTAGGCATGTATTAAATTAGAAAAAGAAATCCTATCTTCTCGGTACTTTGACATGCTTTGTTTTATTGTGTGGTCAAGGGATACTAAGCTTTCTCATATGGTTTATCCTGCTCAGGTATGCCTGGAAATGCTCAACTTTGCAAATTATTCTGGAGATGCTGACAGTAAAATTATTCGGGAGACCTGGGCCAGGCTTCTTGATCAAGCTCTTTCTAGAGGTGGAGTTGCAGAAGCTTGTTCTGTGGTGAAGAGGGTTGGATCAAATCTTTGTCCTGGAGATGGGGCTTGCTTCCCTTTAGAGACTATATGTCTTCATCTTGAGAAAGCTGCTTTGGTAATTTTCTTCTCTGTGCTTGTCCTGATTATTAACTTTTGCAGCACATTTTGTGTGTTAATGTTTGCATCTCTGTTGAAGTATTCACTCAAGTTGTATTGATAAAATATGATCATCAGAGGTCTAGTTTCTGGTGTTTCTCTTAATCTGATTATGCTGCCCACATCTTTGTCAGGAACGGTTGACCTCAGGAATTGAGTTAGTTGGAGATGAGGATGTTGCTAGGGCACTTTTTGCAGCTTGTAAGGGTTCAGCTGAGCCTGTATTATGCTCATATGACCAACTGTTAAATGGAGCTATTTTACTCTCATCGAACCTGAAACTACGTCTTCTAAGGTCTGTTCTAGTGGTTCTCCGTGAGTGGGCAATGTCTGTACTTGCACATAAATTGGGTACTACAGCTGTTGGGGCTTCTTTCATTCTTGGTGGAGCATCATCACGGGAACAGACAGCAGCCATCGGTCAAGGAGTTTGGGATAAGATAAGTAGTTTGGCAAACAGGTCAGTTTCTTTATGCTGTGTTCAACATCATTAGGATTCAAGCAACAGACTGCATTTCTGATTACAGTTGTTCAAGTTCTTATGCAGCATATAGTTTTCAATACATGTATCCTTCTTGCTGTTCCTTTCTTCTTTCCTATGCAATGTTGTTTTGTTCTTCAAATAAATGATAGGAGTTCAATTTTTTCCAATTTATTTTGATAAACAGAAATGGTCAAGTAGTAATTTATCCAACTAAATGAACATCTTCATGATTTTCGGAGACAGGATTCTCTAACCTCCTCGTACGTCACCTGATTTTGAATGATTTCTTGAACTTAACATCAGCTTTTGTAGGGGAAACCTTTCCCAGAATTTGTGTTACAACAAATTTTGGTTAACTTCATCACCATAACTTGCAAATAAGGTCCACTTAAGAAGATCCATGCTCTTTTTATATTTTCTATGACTATAAAATTTCAACGAAGTTGCTATGGTGATAGGACACGGTTTGACTCGGATTAAGTGCTGGGCTAAATGCATCAATTTGGTGCACTATGTTTTCTAATAGCTTGTCATTCTTCCATGTGACATGAGATGGTGGTTGACAAACACATTTTGACCCATTGGTCTTCCATCTCTTTGGCACATCCAGGTACTCCAATTTTGTGGTTCTTGAAAGAATCTAGACAAATTTGTGAATTATTCTCAGGATTTTTAGATTATTTTTTGCAGGAAGAAAGTAGATAGAATCTGTGCTGTTAGCAATTAGCTGCATACTCATCAGCTTTTTTGCGGGATGTACATGATCTAATCTAAAGTAAGTTTACTACATAAAGAAACCTACTTATGTGATAAACAAGATTAATAAAAATATTTATAATAGTACTGGTATTCGATTTGATACCCTTTGTACGATCGGGGTTCCTTCACAAATAAATATAAAATATCATGTGATTTTTCACGTAGATATTCATGTAATTAGTTGCTCTTTCCAATAATATATAGTGAGCCTGCTGAAGAGCAGCTATGGGTTTGCACGCCCCATCACTATCAACTGCTCTATCTGTGGAATACTAGCAATTCCAATAACTGGTTGAACTTTCATGCATAATTCATTTTCTGCACCCTCTGGTTTAGCAGAGAACTATTGAAGTGGATGCAGATTCCTGATGTCCTAGATTGGTTCCACTTATTCACAAAATTGTCATGTCGTGGCATGTATATGATTAGACTGTTTCTGCCCTCTGACTTTGTGATGTCTTGAGACCTTGAGATTATAATTCTTGGTATTGCCTAAAAGATCTCATGAACGGGAGACTTGTGTTTTCTTTCTTTTTCTTTGTTTTTTGTTTTTGGGAAGATTTGAAGGCTAGATTTTTTTTTGTGATGTTATTTTGTAGTCGTTGATAATTATCACTTGATGATGGCTGCATCTCTTTTGCATTTGCTTCTATTAGAATTACTATTTCATTGTTACCGTAAAGCTTTGTTGATCGTTAGCTTGCAATAGCAGGTACATGACTGAGGTGCGACGCCTGTCACTTCCACAAAACCAAATTGAGCCCGTCTACAGGGGCTTCCGAGAACTCGAAGAACAAATACAGGCGTCTACCGCCTTTCAACCACTATAGTTCCTGATAAGACTTATATTAGTTGTTGTCTTCGTTGTACCCTTTTACCCATATTATCTTGAATCACATTGGATTAAACACATTTCACCCTTTCTTGTATTTGTATGGGAACGTCAATCTGTCTCTTCGTTTCTGTCATTTACATGTATCTGTCGAGGTAAGTCTTCATTGTCACAGCTGTAGCTTCACAGGCACAAAGTTGATGTAGCTCTTCGTTCCAGTTTGGTGATATTATTCTGTATCTTTTTTCCCATTTATCTGTTAATCCTTTGCTAGTGAATGCCTCTTTAGCTCTCAAATCTCAAACGATTTGAGGTTGTCTGACGGGCATCCTTATTCGTGACTTAAGTTGTGCTGTTTGTCTGGTAGGCTGTGTGTGCCTCTGGATGCCTACAACGTCATCGGTTCGTTTGCCAAGTCGTTACTGAAGCGGCTGCTTCCCACGGGGAAGGGCGTCAGTGTAACGGTGCCATGTGGCAGGGATGATTAAGCAAAAAGGCCAGGAGCCGAAGCGGTGAAAGCGAGGCGTAGAAAACGGGAAAGGAAACAAAAGAAAAAGAAGAAAGCAAAGGGCGTGGAAATAGTGAGAGCTCACGGAAAAAGGAAAGATTTCTCGAGCTCGCTCTCTTTCTCTCTCTCTCTCTGCCGGATCTTCTCGTCTCCTCCTTACGGAAGCCTTGCTATAGTTGGGGTAGTTTTCCCGATTTGCCCGTGTAGGGTTCCGATTGGGTCCGACGCGATTCTACCCTCCGCGATGTTCTGATTCGTGGAGGAGAAGGTCCGGAGACGGCCACCCGCCTCGATCCTTGATCGGTACCCTCGAAATCCCTACCCTGGTGCGCCCGGGCGACATGACCGACGCCTTGTCCTTGATCCCGGCGTCCGTTCTCCGGAACCTTGCTGATAAGCTATACGAGAAGCGGAAGAATGCGGCCCTCGAGGTATTGTGGCCGATGCCCTTTTGTTTATCTTGTGATGGCTGGTTGGTCGTTTGCTATGCGAATGGTTGAATTCGGATGTTGTGAGAGCGCAGATTGAAGGGATAGTCAAGCAACTCGCGGTGGCCAGGGAGCATGAGAAGATATCGGCCTTGATTAACCTGTTGACCACAGAATTCGCTTACTCGCCTCAGGCAAACCATAGGAAGGTTCGATTTAGAAGTCTGAAACCCTGTGGTCGTTCATTCTGAGCAGTGTTGTTTTGGAGTTGGGTAGCTCACTTTTTTATCTTCGTTGCCAACAATGTCGCTGGCTGTTTCACTTTCAGGGTGGCTTAATAGGGTTTGCAGCAGCTACTGTTGGATTGTCTGCGGAAGCTGCTCAGCATCTTAAGGTTAGCAATATGCAAAATACAGAACATCTTTGCCCTTTTCCTCGATTACAAGTATGGTGTTGTATCTTTCAACATTCATTTGAGTTTTTAATTGGCCACCAATAACAAATTTGTCATTTATGCACCACGAGTTGCATGATGATATACATTCGCGCTGAGCTATGTTTGGATCTGGTTAATTCACATGGGAAAAGGTTAATTACAAGGAAGATATAAAAGTTTCCTCTACTTTCCCAAATAGTATACTGTGCTTCACTGAGAAAGTTGTACGTGTCATGCAAATGAAGGAACAACTCCACTTAAAGATTAAATGGACTAAGCCAAATTTGGTATTCATTCTAATGAATTGTCTTCTTAATTCTTACTCGACATATCACGATGTAATATATTCCATCGGAAGATAGGAAATTAATCTTTAGCATATCTGGGGTTGAAATCATCTTGAAGATGCATCACATTTCTTAACATACTATGAAAATATGTCTAGCATTAATTTGAATCGAACTAATGAATACGTGAATCAAGAAGCTTTATTGAAATCAATGATGAACATCTTATAATAACCAAGTATAGACAATCTACATAATGTGCTGTACCCCGTTATTTTGTCTTAGTGTTGTTTCAGAGGATAAGCTGGTGAGTAAAAGATAGGCAAAAAGTGAAATTGCTGCAAAAGAAGGTGCCTAGTGCACGAGGCTCCCCCCAATACTTATATGTTGTGTGAGGCTTTCTTTGACTCGGATCCTACTCAACTAGGGTCTCGAAGGGGCAACCTTACTATGAGACTAAGTCTCACCCTTTTGTGAAAATGGTCTAGATATATTCATAAATTGAAGGTTAGATTATACAATGATAGATTCAGAGCTATCTAGGTGAATCAACAATGTTAATGTTCTTTTTTTTCTATTAGAGAATGAACTAGTTACACTTGGTGCAACCTAGAAATGAGGACTCCTGGTGGCTAAGTGACACGACACAAAGTAGTTGTTGCACACCTGTGCCTTTCATGTGCCACAGATCTTTGTGGTCTTGGGTCTTGATGAATGCAGTTTCCTAGTGCCAAAGCAAAGCATGTTTGCCACATGCAGAATTACTGAAGATGGATCATTGTGCTAACAATCCATGCATTATTTTAGATACGCCCAAAAAATTCTGTAATGCATGAAACTGGAAGGTTGTTCAAATGAAGGTGGAAGTGCCACAAAGGGCAGCTAAAAAGAAGATGATCGAGGAAGAAATGGATGGAGTTGGTATGAATGGACATGATGGCCCTTGGTTATAGAAGGTTGACTTGCAATATACTAAATGATTATGTAGCCTTTCTGCTAGTGCAAGGCATTCATAACCAAACAAATGAAAGTAATTATGCAGTTTATACAAGAAGGTTCTTACTATCAAAAAGCTAAACTTATGTTCAAAAGACATTTTTAATATCTCTATCCTCATAATCTATGTAGGGCTGTCTTCTTTCAGCTCATTCAGATCCTGAGACAAATATCACTCTTATAAGCATGTTTTCCTCTGTTCTTTGAAGTTCTCTCAAGTTTCAACAATAATTTTGGAGAGTTTCTTTCTTGTTATACGAGCTTAAATTGCAATGGTAACTTGCTTGGTTTTTATACAACATCTTAGCTCTTTAGTCCTTCCACAATTCACATTTGGCTAGACTTGTTTAGCTGGAAAATAAATACCAACTCTGGAAATTTGACATCAGGTCGAGAGTGGAGTCTTCTTGATTTCAAAGTTGTGCTTTATTGCGGACACAAAAGTGACTGGAAAGTCTTGGATGATGCTGATTATGTAGTCTTCATGATCATAGGACTTTTGGTAGTTATAAATGATAGTTTTCCAGCTATAACATGAATGGGTATCTGTTCATGGAGTCTTTGTGATTTTGAAGTTGTGCTTTATTGCGGACACCACAGTGACTGGCTTGGATGATGCTGATAATGTAATCTTCATTATCATAGGACTTTTGTTAGTTATAAGTGATAGTTTTCCTGCTATGATGTGAATAAGTTTCTGTTCATATATTTTCTGATTCTCAATGATCTTGTTCTAATGCTTGAGCAGGAAAGTTGAATTGCTTTTTTAGTTTACTATTTCTAAGGTATATTATGAATTTTAGCTAAAACATTTTTTCCTTGGATCATCCAATTCTCAGCAAATTGTACCACCGGTACTCAATTCTTTTGCTGACCAAGACAGCAGAGTTCGCTATTATGCTTGTGAAGCATTGTATAATATTGCAAAGGTAAGTATGGACCTATTGCCTTTGCCAAATCAGTCTGGATATGTTTTGAAATTGTCTTGTACATTAATGTATTAGCTATGTTCTGTCTGTGTATTTTTTAGGTTGTAAGAGGAGATTTTATAATCTTCTTTAACAAGATATTTGATGCACTATGTAAGCTTTCAGCAGACTCAGATCCTAATGTTCAGAGTGCAGCTCATCTTTTAGACCGGCTCATAAAAGTAAATTTAACTTTGTTGTTTCTAACTTGTAAACAATATTTCTGAAGATTTGTTGCTATCTAAAGTTGGGTTTAATATGTTCGCCAGGATATTGTGACAGACAGTGACCAATTCAGGTGCACCAGCTGGGCTTACGTTGTTTATTTTCTTCATTTCTGTATGTACTTCACTTGAAATGTCTTTGCATGACTATTTTTTATTTTCTAAATCTCTTTGAAGCATAGAAGAATTTATACCACTTTTAAGGGAGCGCATGAATGTGCTTAACCCTTACGTACGACAATTTCTAGTTGGCTGGATCACTGTGTTGGATAGTGTTCCAGAGATTGATATGCTTGGCTTCCTTCCTGATTTTCTTGATGGTAATATATCTGAAAAAAAGAAAACTCTTACTTTTTTGTTTGCGCTACTGTGGTGTCATAGGTGAGCAATTAATTTTTGCAGGTTTGTTTAACATGTTAAGTGACTCCAGTCATGAAATACGACAGCAAGCAGATTCTGCGCTTTCTGAGTTTCTTCAAGAAATAAAGAATTCTCCAGTAAGGCTTCTTTCAATGGATTATCTTTCAGCATTCCTGTGTGTGTCTGTCTGTATCTGTGAATCTTCCTTAGTCTCAAATCTGGTAGCTGTCATCTCTAGAGACCATAAATATGGTTGTCGCTGTCCTATTTTTCTTAATTCCTGTTTTTCCATCTTGAAGAATGTAGATTATGGTCGTATGGCAGAAATTTTGGTACAAAGGGCAGGTTCTCCAGATGAATTCACTCGGTTGACATCAATCACATGGGTAAAAGTTAATTTCTTTCTTTTTACGGTCTGGATACGGAGTTCTGATAAAATGTTTCTTCATAGTTTCTTGATCAATAATTCTCTTCTCTAAAATTTTGAAGTTAGGCATCCTCAACCTATGGAAAAGTCATCTCATCTTTATCTTTGTAATTAAATTATTATTTGTTAGAACATATAATTAAACTGCATCGATAATGCAGATTAATGAGTTTGTAAGACTTGGTGGAGAACAACTTGTTCCTTACTATGCAGATATTTTGGGAGCTATATTACCTTGCATATCTGACAAGGAGGAGAAGATAAGAGTAGTAAGTCTAATGCTCATTTGCTGTAGTTGTTCGTAATCACCTTTGCAATAAAAATACCATTCTCCTTCATATGCTTTTCATGTACAGGTTGCTCGTGAAACCAATGAAGAGCTTCGTGCCATTCGAGCTGATCCAGCTGATGGATTTAATATCCATGCCATCCTTTCTATTGCAAGGAGGTGCAGTTTTTAGTCGCCTGCAATTAGTTTGGCTTTAAGGTTACTTGTGCATTTTATATACATGTTAATGCACCTCATGTGTCTCTAAATGGGTGACAAGAGAAATTTGTATGGAAGGGTTGTTTTTTGTACAACAAACCTTTTTATAGGTCTTCTATATACTTATGGAACTAAATGGTATTTTTTTTATAATCATCTCAGAGACTTAACCAGTGAATGGGAGACTACTCGAATTGAAGCGCTGCATTGGATAGCAACGCTTTTGGCTCAGCATCGAACTGAGGTAATTGGTTAGTGATATCATTCATCTGCACATGTAGTAATTTTCAATCAAAATAGTACCTTTGTTTACTTTGTTGAAGTTAGCATGAAGAGTTGCATTTGTTAGACTAATTATTAGCATATTCAGTTATCTCAATATATTGTTTGTTTTTGTATCCATTAGTTATATGAGGAATCAGGTTGGTTAAGCCACTGTTTTTTGTTGCTTGTGTCCTCCAACTTATACAAAGCTTTTCTAGTACAGGAATAAGTTTATAATTTTTTTTTGAACAGGTCATTTCATATTTGAATCATACATATGACTCCTTGTTGAGTGCACTTTCAGATTCTTCGGATGAGGTACTTCTTCGAAGATTCTTCTTGATTAGTCCTCTAAATGATAAACCTTTTATCTGATTTTTGTGTGTTCCAGACTTGATTTAATGGCTGTATTTGACAATGTAGAATGCCATTGGCCAGATAAATGACATTCATTAGCATGCCAAAATTAAATTGTCTTTTGTTGACAAGAAAGAAAAAAGGGCCAATCACACATGGCACCATACTCCCTGTGAACTTACACATTGCTGGGGCTGAAGACTAGGCAAAGGGGGAATAATAATGAATTTTTTATGTATGCCACTTGTAAGCATGTATCATGCATTCACATGTTGTCATCTCCTGGAGGCTTCTTTCAATGATTCAATCGATCAAAATTCATTGGTTATAAAAATGTTCATGTGGTGTCTTGGTTGCATTTTCTTCATATATTGGCATGTTGCTGCTTTTGTTATGTAGTTGAGTCAACCAAAAGTGGACAAGACAGGCTCCATCTGACTCTTCGTATAAGATGGTATGGAATTGACACCCAAGCAGTTAGACTTCTGCAGTGGCATGCATGGATAATATCTTCCTTTTTGTAGTTCATCCTTCAATATCTTTTGTTTTCTCCTATCCGAGTGTTTAATAATTGTATGTACTTGATAGCAAGGTTTATAATTTCGTACCGAACCGAAGTATCGAGCTCAGATCGGTACGGTACGAGTATACCGAGCATTATATTCTGGTGTACCACTCGGTATATATATATATATATATAAGTTCAAAAAAAAGACGACGTCATCTCGTTTTTTTGTCCGCGTGGGGAGAAGAAACGTCGCCTCGACGATGCTCGGTTTCTTCTCCCTGCGATGTCGTTGAGGTTTCTTCTCCCTGCGTGAATGAGGAGAAGTCGTCGGCGACGTCGAGGCCTCGTCACCTCAGACGAGGAGGCGACATCTCATCTGCGGTGTTTGGCGAGAGAGGGCAGCGACGGATTGGGTTCGTCGAGGGAGAGCAATGCCGGATCTCCAAGTTCTCCCTTTGCTTTCTTTTCCCTTGGCTAATACCATCCGGTAGTGGGCGGTGACGGTCGAAATCGACCGTCACTGACCGATTTAGGGTGTTAATGGGGCGGAAACAGCCCCAATCGATAGTGCCACCTGGTAGCGGGCAGTCCGCGTACCGGGCTGCTGGTGGACCGGTATGTGCCGCCCGGTATGAGCGGTATTATTCAAAATTAAAATCCTTGCTTGATAGTATAAACTATAAAATTCATATTAACCTAATATGCTTTTTTTGCAGAGCAGTCTTTGTTTCCATGTTTGGATCTGAATCTTAATATCAAATATTTATTTTTTTGGTGCAAGATTAACACTAATTAAATATCACTGTTTTACCTGTCAAACATCATTCGGTAGGATAAGGATATCAGGGGTAAACATGGTTAAGAACAAATAAAGAATTTACACTATATTCATCCATCTTGTAGTGCCATTATTTGTGCTATATCAGATTGTAAGGAAAAGGAGTTTGGGAAGATAAATTATCTGCTGTCATCTTGTATTTTCTTGCATTGCTTTCTTGGGAGAATTTTATATTGCCTACTTTGTTTTCCTATGCGTGTTTGAAACTCAAAAGTGCAAAGAAGGCGCAAATGTAGGCAAAGTGCTCCAAATCTTAGGTTATATGGTTGATCAGCTATATATATTTGTAGCGAAACCTTAAGAGATTCTTACTGTTCCAGAACTAACCCATTTAGTGCTGACAAATTTTGTCAGTTAAAAAAGGACCTGAACAAATTTTGTTTGTTACAATTCTTAAATTTTCTGTACTTGCCGGCAAATGCTGGCAAGCATATATGGTAGAAATTTCTTAACTTATGTTTGGTATGTACGGATTGCTTATTAAAGATGTCAAACATCTTAGAAGCATCTTCACTGTCTTCATCACATCTATAAATTATTTTAATAAGTTTGCCAATAGTGCCGAAACAACTGTCTTCTCTTAAGGCTTTTAGTGTCTCTTAAAATTTTCCTCATATAGCTTATATGTCATATGCTCAATCTACTTATAGGCCTTTTCTGTTTCATAGTATTATCATTTATTGTCATCAATGTTTATGGTCTGTATTATGTGACCAACTTGAGATGTAGGCTTCCCTCTCATCATATGGGTATACTGTTCTAATATATCTGCTATTGTGGAGTTGCATTTATATGGTCAATATATGCTCACTGTTGGGCTGGTGTTATGAAGTGTACCATCTAAATTCATCTTATATATTTTATTCAAAATAATACAATTTACTGTGGTCAATCAACGTAGCATTGCTGCTATTCTGCTGCTGTATTTATGAGGGTTTTTCTTGTTGGCAGGTTGTCCTCTTGGTGCTTGATGTGCATGCTTGCATAGCAAAAGATACTGAATACTTTTGCCGCCTTGTTGAGCTAGTAGTCTATAATTTTAAAATTGACCGTGCACTTCTCGAAAGGCCAGTCGATTCTTATCCTTTTCACTACAATCTTTATGTATGAACAATGAAGTAAACAGAGACTGTTAATTCTTCTTATAATCCAACATAGTATAAATCTCTAGTTCATTGTTGGTCTGCACACACCTAAAATGTGTATTTGTAACTTGTACAGTTGGCAAAATTGAATTATTACAATCTTTTTTCAGGCGTGGGGCTATGATTGTACGCCGACTTTGTGTCCTTTTGGATGCAGAACGTGTTTACCGAGAATTTTCCTTAATTTTAGAGGGTGAATCAGACTTGGATTTTTCATCGGTTATGGTTCAGGTATCTTTTTTATTTCAATTGCTGATCACAATAATGGACATTATTAACATTGCACAGAGCCAAAAAGAGGGGGAAATTTTTTCTAACATAACTTTCTTTGTGTAGGCATTGAATTTGATTTTACTTGCATCATCAGAATTGGCTGGGTTGCGAATTCTCCTAAAGCATTCATTGGTGACATCTTTGGGCATGGACTTATTTGTATCATTGTATTCTTCTTGGTGCCATTCACCGATGGCAACAATCAGTTTGTGTTTACTAGCGCAGGTGCCATATATATTATATAATTGCTACCTGGATATTTTGCCTGTATCTATCACTTCAATTGCTCTGACTATTATCACCTTTCATTGAAGGCATACAATCATGCCAGTTCTGTAATCCAGTCACTAGGGGAAGAAGACATCGATGGAAAGTTCTTGGTGCAGCTGGACAAATTAGTTCGACTTCTTGAGACTCCAATTTTTGCTTACTTGAGATTGCAGGTACAGTTCCTATACAACTCATTTATTTCTTTATTTTCCTTGCTTTTGGTAGTGATCTATCTCGCTGTCATGAATTGTTGAATACGAAGTCCTGTTTGGCAGTAGTATGATTGAATATGTGCCTACATAGTGCACATAGCATCCTGCTCATCTTGTAGAAGGCCATCTTTTGTTATTCAATCAATTCCTGTGAACTCAATGTACCTCAGCCAAGTATGTATTATTTTGAGATGCCTTTGGTTCTCCATGGATACCAGCGTCCGTTGTTATGTGTAGCATCTGTTAGTGAAGAGTTGAATAATATATTGTTGTATGAAAACATTGGTTCCCATTCTTTTATATCGAGCTGTTTGGTTGTTAGTTCTTAACAAAAAACAAAAAGTTATGTAGGCTTTTAGTAGATATAGTAGTGTTTACTGAAAATATCATGCTTACATGTTATGTGCTGCATATCCAACTATGCTTGTATTAAAAGATTTGAGCATAACTGTGCTATTCATTCGGCATAAAGTAATTGAAATGAGTAATCCTATTGCTGTGTAATCATTTAATTACATAACAAGCTGCTCTAGATTCACGCAAGTTCTCACAGCTATGACTCTTGATTTTGTAGAAGGATCTACCTATTACAAGTTGGTCTCCACCTTTAGTTAGTTCACTTAAACCAGCTGAAAGTATGAGCCAAGTTTAATCCATTTGAGGTTGGATCGAACCAACTTGGTTAAGTGGATCAGGTTCACAAATTGGAAGTCTATGACCAGCCCAATCCTGATGCATTTTTGCATTTAGCGTTGAGTCTAGGATCAAGTTCGTTAGTTTGACAATCTGGATGGTTGTCGACTGTGTTCAGCCAGCTGGTGCTAGCGATCATTCATGAGTGTTGGCCATGTCAGCAGTGGTGGTCATTGTGCAGTATCATTCAATTGTTGGCCAAGTCCAGCCATGTTTGGCTCACTGGCCTGAGTGGTGCATAAATGGCATTGGTTGGTTAACTTCCTCTGTTGGTAAGAAGACTAGTTTTGTCAGAAAGCAATTGAAAGAAGTACTTGAGGGAAGACCAAGTCACGAAGCCCCTACAACTGAAGCTATTCCTGGTTTTAACAGATTACCTAGAATATGAAGATTTTGTCCAGAGCTATCTTCTGTGATGTTTATTATAGTTGATCAGCCCTGATATGACATCCCTTGTGCTTTGACTTATTGACTTCTGGCTTTCTCTTGCATGTTTTTCTGGCATTGAGTTTTGTTGAGGTGCACCTTTTTCTGTCTTTTGCTAGATGAACGAGTTCTCATTTTCATCTTTAATAAGCAATATTTGCTTCAAATACCTGTACATGGTCTTCTTTCTGATGTTTCAACTAATATACCGTAATTGTACAGCTTCTTGAGCCTGGAAAACATACATGGCTATTGAAGACTCTGTATGGTCTTTTATTGCTCCTGCCACAGGTATGTTTCTCTGTTGGTGCATGTATATTGTTCATTTTTTAGGAAGCTCAAAATTTGTCTCCATTAGGCTTGAATATTTGAAAAACAGATTTTTACTACCTGATTGAGCACATACTTGACAGAAACCAAGTGGTTGACATGATTCATGTCGGTAGTTAAATTGATACTGACTTACAATAAAGATGTATGTTTTTTCATTCAACAATAAGATGCCAATCTAAATTGTTGGATGGAGTCTCCATAAACAATAAGATATTCAACTAAGGATGTACTAAGTTATATGTTTGTGCAGCTATTGCATTACTTGTGTCTGCATATTTATGATATTATTTTAATTAAAATAGTTTTCTTCAACAGATCTGTGCATGTCTCAGTGAAGAAATGTCATTCATAAGGCAAGCTACAACTTGTAGCCTCAGAAATTGGTCTAGTTACTGTTCGAGAAAACCAGCTTTGAGACAAATTTCTGTGTCTGTAGGCTATGATGAATATACTACCAAACAATTATGGTGGAGGCGAGGGGCTGATAACCAACCAAAAACCTTTTCTAGTTGCAGTTGCTGCATGAACTGTCGCTACACCAAAGCAGAACTTGCTGAGTCATGGAACTCACAAGTGATAACCCCTTACATTTTGATGGTTTCACAAGTAACACACTATCCAGAGCCAAAAAAGAAAGAAAAACTATAAAAGGGAGGGAGAGAATAAAAAGTAAAGAAAACAGAGGAAATATGAAGGGTTGTTAATCTTTCTATTCTTGAACCTGGATGCTAGCTTTTTGTCAATTCAACCTTCCCATCCCCATCCTTCCGCTTTACTCTCCCTGTTTATTAGCTAACTGATATGACTCACTAATTTGTAGTTGTATGGTTTTTTCTGTTTTGTAGATGCCTTTCAGCTTTTGCTGTTTCAGATGTCATAGTATTAGTGTAGTCAAAAGCGCTAGGCACCCAAAATATCCGAGGAGCTAGGTGCTCGCTCGAGCGAAGCGAGACGCTCCCGAATATTATAATTTAAAAAATATATTTCATGATTAATAAAAATAAATAGCTGCTGTTAATTATTATAAACAGGGCTGCTCAAGCCCTACTAGAGAGCTCCCAGGTCAACTTAACCTAGATGGCAGCTTCTGTTCACCACAGTAAGCAGCTGCTGTTCTCACAAACTTGGACCAAAATAATCAACTCTGATTTATCTAAAAATTGAAACATAACCATAAAAATTGACAAACAACAAAGAAGGCACTGATGAATGGGGAAGAAAGCAGCAGTGAATGGGGAAGAGAGAGTGGAAGAAGGCAGTGGTGAATGGGGAGGAGGGAAGAGCGATTGGGGGAGGGGGTGCTACGACGAGGCCCGTGGGGGTGGAGGGGGCAGAGGTAGGAGGGAGGGGAAGAAGCTGCCACTGTTGCCATCGGAGGAAGACGCCGCCGCTGTTGCTGCTGGAGGAAGACATCGTCGCTGTTGCTGCCGCTGGAGGAAGACGTCGCCGTTGCTGTTTGAGAAAGACGCCGTCACTGCTGCTGCTGCCATTGTTTGCCGATGGGAGGAACTCTGCCACCGTGCAGAAACATAATGGGAAAGAGGGATTTCTGTGTTAGGGCATGACTTGTGCATGGGGAAGTGGGATTTTTGCATTAGATAACCTGTTCAATCGAACCAGATAATACCATTTTGGTTTGGTTCAGGCTTGACCTCGCCTAAGTTTAATCAGGCGGGCGCACTTGGGCCAAGGCGAGTGCCTGGGCCATGCCTGAGTGAAGTCACCTGACCAACCCAATAGGCGGGCGCTCTCGCCTCGCCTGGGCACCTAGGCGAGCACCTGCTGACTTCATTGCATGGTATCTACATGTTTAAATAACCTAGGCACCCACTGTATTAAGATGTTGCATAGGTGTTGTGGCTCGTCTTCTGAAACATTTGGCTTAATAGTTGGGCTCCAAGGTGGGGTTGCAAAGGTGTCAGTGAGCTTGGAAGTTTGGACATTACTTGAAAGGTTACAGGTTAGAAGATGACTAAGCTTTGCCAAAATGAGGTTGAGGTTGTAGCTATTCTTGTGGATAACTCTGTTGAAGGACATCATTCATTTGGAGAGGTAGAACAAGAATGCTCCAAAATTAGGAAGGTAGAAACTTGAGGCAGAAAGGAGGCTTGGCCTTGGGTTATTTTGGAAATATTCAATGGGATTGTTGATACTCTTTCATAATTTTACTTCAAATATATATATTTCTGAGACATGGTGTTTTGCACAATGAAAGTGGCATGTGAGTTACATGTATATATTTGGAGTTATGGTTGCTGATAAACACGGGAGGTCAATAATGCAGATGGTGCATTCTAGTTTATTTTGTCTGTTCTCCTATGCTGTCAAAATATTGAGCAAGAAGGTACTTGTTTATAAAGTAAAACGATGGTATAAATTGTAGGAGCAGGAAGCTGGCCTGACTCTTGTGGTTTTGGTTTGTATTAGTGTGTTGACAAATGGTATGATGGTACGTGCCGTGTTACCTTGAAAGGTACAGAGGTGAGGAAGAGGAGTACCCAGGCCAGCAGGAATGGGTGGGTGTCACAGGAGGAAAAGAGGGAGGCCTGAACTGGACATGAAAAAGGTTGGTCCATGTGCTGGTTTGCTGTCGACTGGCAAATACTGCTCAATAAGAGCCAATCCGGATGGTACTTAGAACCATGAGTAAAAGACTAGCAAATGTTCGTAAATATAATGCACATGGACTCATAACTGCGGTTAACTACATATGGTATTCTAGGGCAAATGAAGTTTCTTAAAGAAAATCCAAGAGCCCTTTGAAGTTTGTTTGGACCCTAGTCTGGTGTGGAGTAGGCAAAGTGCGAGTTTAATCCTCATGTCTACTTCTATCTTCCAAGTGTATGAACTTTAATTATCAACCATCTATTATACATTAGCATAATCCCTCACCATCACTTTTCCATGTACATTTTTATCAAACCATGCATCAAGGAATGAAATATTCAGGAATTCCACTGCACTGAAGTCCACCTTCTCGATATTGCCACAAATTACACAACTAAATGGGCTGCCAGTAAATTATGTTAAGCTGGGGGTAGCTCTACAACTAAGAAAGCATACATTCAACTGAATTGTTGGGAATAAACCAAATTTAAATTATCAAACTAGGAATCTGTTGTTTTCGAAAGTGTTTCTGGCCTATTAGCTTAAAGCTCAGCATAAGTGTATATCCTGTGGTTGCTGCTTCTCTTGGTTCATTGTACACTTGTTAACTACTTATTCTCTTATTATATGCTTGCAGCAAAGTGCAGCATTCAAGATATTACGGACTCGTTTAAAAACTGTACCATCTTACGCAGTCAGTATTGAACAACTAAAGCATTCATCATCAGGAAACCCATATTCCCAGATTTTACAAATAATGGAGGACAATAAAACTCAAGATGCTGCAAATGTTTGTAATGCAATCAACTTTCCTGCAAGGCTGCAACAGTTTGAGCAAATGCAGCGCAGGCATCGGGTGCATTCTAAATCTCATCTGATGTCCCTCAATTCTACATCCTCAGCTGTTTCACAGGTTTGTGGTGTTTTCCAACTTGTTTTTCCGCATCAAAGTGTATCATCAACTTGTCATGTTTTCGTGATTTTGTTCTTCCAAGTTTCTCAAGTTCCCTCTTAGAAAACTGGTTAACTAAATTTTAGAATGCATTTTACTTTGGATTCTGATATGTAGGAAATACAAATACTCGAAGAATCACACCATTCTTCCCCTCTTCCTGAGATTTCTAGATTATCATTGAACATGCCAGAGCAATCAAAACCTTGAATGCCTGTTATTCTTGCATCTGCTTCAGGCCTCGGCAGTGATCTCAGCTTCTTAATTGCCTGCACCATGGCAATAAGATTTATTTCTGTGACCGGATCGCCCGGTATAAAGTTGTATATCTTCTCAATTTGTATTAGAGCTTGTCCTGTTGGTGGTGGCTAGGATTGCGATGAACGGTACACAGTCTGACATCTTGTCAGCCATTCTTTTCTGCTTAGGCATGATCTGCTCATGTGGTTTTGTAACTTTTTTCCTAATTAGAATACCATATGAGCCCTAGGTCTTCTGGTGAGATCCAGTTCTTTGAACTGTTTAGCTGAGGCCACAATCCCAAATGCAATTAGAAATTGTACATTGTAGTCTTTGTGCCTCGTGGAATATAGTCTATTGTCATCATCATCATTATCATTATTATTATTATCATTATATTCTATTTCCACTTATTTGGGAGTCTTTTTTTTCTTTGGTTCTTATAGTTGTAACGCGAACCAGTACAATATTAATGATCAACTGGCTGCAATTATTTCCAACCTTAATTTTAGAACATTAATTACCTAAGAAACTTTTCTGGTTGATAGGTTCCTCTGAATTGTAGAGATATTTATCATCTTTTGAACATTGATGAGGCTTTTTGGCTTAACACTCTTCTTGATTGTCTGCAGAATAATAAATTTAACTCAATAAATTAATGTTTTTAATTACTTTAACTTGCAAGTCTTCGGTTAAGATTCCATTAATAGGGATCTTGAATGACTAAAAAAAGTTGAAAGTTTCATATTATCTATATACTCGTTTAGGTTGTCATTTGTTTTTATTTTGTGATGCGTTTGATCAAATTGCATTGATCTTTTCTTCTTTTTTTTCTTACATCCATTTGTTTTTGAAACTGCTGAATTATTTTCTATATTCACGTCCCAAAGCTTCGCAAGTGAAGATGGCTTTCAAACATGTTTTTAAAACAAATATCCTACAATAGAAAGAATAAAAAATAAAAAGAGCAAATCTTACGTCATAAATCTTTCTTACTTTTACTTTAGAGAGTAAACGTCATGACATAAATAAGAGATAAATAACAAATAATGCTATAATGGCCCCCTCCATTAACGTTTTATTGTTCTCTTTCTATTTGAGTTCCTGTGATGTCTTGCACATCCCGTGACCTGATCTATCCATTCGACGGCTGTGATCGAGCGTGTTATCGTGCTCCGCTCGCCCCCTTTCTTGCTTCAAATCGTCGGGCGGGAAACCGAAAAACATTTCCATCTCTCTCGTTTGCTCGTTAGGGTTCCACTTCCAGGTCGAGACGCTTCAAACCCTAGCTTCCGATCACCGCCAAGATTTCGTTGCCTAGGGTTCTTCTTTCGATTCCGTGATCTTGGATCTCCGCCTTCGCGATGGGGCCGAGGAGCTAGGGCCGCCGATGGGCGTTTCGCCTCCGTCTTTTGAAGATGAGCGGTAGAGACGACTTAGTGGGATGCGACGAGTCCGGTGGAACGCGATTCCACTTCCTCCAACCCAATCGCGACCTCCAATCTAACTGGGAGGTCGACCTCGCCAAGAAGCTTGAGGAGTACCTCTTGAAGATCTGCTCCGGCGAGATTTCTTCTGATCAGGACCACGAGCTCAACTCCGTGAACTTTGCCGAAGGTCTCTTATTTTAGATCCCTGGTTAAGTTTTCTTCTTTACTCCCCGATTTTTTCTGATTTTCTTGATTTTCTTGTCTTTAAAAATGGGGAATTGGGGTTTAGCTGCGCTGCTGCTACAGGGCTCCATTCAGGTGTATAGCCGGAAGGTCGATTTCCTTCATTCGCTGGTCTTGCATGCCTTGGAGTTTCTTTCGCAGAAGAGGTTTGGTTTCTAAACCTTTTTGACATATTTGGTAGGTTTGTGGATATCTTTCTGGATGGTTGATCCAATAAACTCTTGTCCTGTCATTGATTCATCAGTAAAGTTCATAATTTCTAGCTTTTACTGCATTGCATCTCATATAAACGAAAAATGGTATTACTATTTCACATCAAGAATGAGTGGGCTACTGTTGCTTCTTGTGATGTGTCTCTATTAATATACAACTAAAAACTTTTTATTCATTCATCAGAAGTTGTAAATTGTTGAATTCGCTTGTATGTTTTTGGTGAATTGGCTATTTTAAATTCACACTTCAAAACTCTTTTTTTCAGTTATTTGTGTTTATCAGAGTCATAACGCAGCAGTAATTTCAATTGTTGAATATATATACTACACAATATTCAAAGAATTATGAATCAGTATCCTCCACATGCAATCCTTAGTCCTTAACCGTATGGGCTAGAGGTTTCGCAAATTGTTTCACAACTAATCTGTCAGTGCTTTATTAGCTAGGTTCTTGGTTGAAGTCTGTTTACCCTACGTGTTGATTTGTTTAAAGCAATTTTATGGTTTTCTTGTAGTCAGGGAGTTACTTATCTCATGCCGTTCATATGCCACTCTATTTGTAACTTTGTATAGTGCAGCATGTACAGATTCCCTTTGTCTATCTTGAACTCATCTTCAATAGACTCTTGATACTTTGAGATTATCGTTTTTCCTTCTGTAGTTCATGATAGTAGATGTGTGTCATTTGAAATATGTGTTTCTATACTTTGTTCTTTTTTTCTTTTTTTTTTCTGTTCTAAGTTATAATAAGTTCCTGCCAGTAGGAACAGTAGAGGCTGCCTCTCATAGTCCATGTAGGAATTTCCGAATCTAGATTTAAACAGATCATGTGGGTCCATGTCATCCCCAAGTCATATCAGTGCAGAATGGGTGTTGATATGATTGCCATGAGAACCTACTTATCAGAATCATAGGAAGGCCCTGCAGGAAATAGGAACAACTGAATTGTGCAGCCCTATAATCTGGCCAAACAGGGCCATTTTTCTGGGCCGTCATAGGTTGGCACCGGTCAAAGTCTATCTAGCATATCTTGATTTCATTTTTATATATACCAGCAGAGTTTTCTTTTACTCAAGAAACTTTATTTTTCTTTCTTACAATATTGAAGCCTTGAAACTTCCGATAATATTTTTGTACATCTTTGCAGGCATCATCAAGATGAAAATGCTTCTAGTCAGCCAGATGCAAATGGAGATGAATCCAATGCATTTTTTGATGAAGGGAATGAATTTTTTTTGGGGTTAGATGATGTGCCAGGTAAACAGTATTTGCTGTTTGTTTTGCTAGCTCGAAGGTGAATCCAACACTGACCTGGTAAGTAATTTTCATAAATCAGTTGTAGCAAAGAATTGTCTGGATGATGAGCCTGAGAAAAAAGAATCTTCAAAGCATTTTGCCAAGCCTCCTGCCAATTTGCTTGTGCTAGAAGGAGACTGTTTAGATTCCTGTGGTGACGGTAGTGAATTAGAAACGTATCTGGTAATTTAGTATCTAAACTTATGCATGTTTTGGTCCCTTTTGAAATTATGAATTTTTTATGTTAACTCAGTCTTATTTTGTTATTGCAGTTAGCAACCTGTGATTTTTATGGAGATTTTCTTTTGTTAGATCCTTGTGATGCTAGAGCAGTTTATGATTTTTCAAGAACAGGCAGTTCAGTGAGATCTAAAAAACGCCGCAGTCCATTAAAATCTCCAATTATAAGATCTGGGGGAACTGCTCATAAATCAAGTCTTGGGAAAAACCAAGGCATAAATATAAATGAATTTTCAGAGGATTGTTGTGGCTTTGGGATCAACAATGACACCCAGTTTGCTGGATCACATGTTGACCATGGTTATCCTGATGATGACATGCATCATGTAGATGAACCCAATTTTGCATGTTCAAATCCTCAGGATGAATCTGATGACGATATTGATGATCCCTGGAAGCCATTGAATCCTCATGAACCAGGAAACTTGAAAGTAAAACCATTTAAAAGAGGTGAGGCTTCACTTTCTTTATAAGGAGATATCTCTCTTTCTTTGTCTAACTTTTTGGCTCCTGCCTTGTTTTAATAGTAAAGGGATTTGGAAGGCATGTGACTCATTATTCTAGGCGGAACACCCAGACTTCTCAGTTTCCTATTGCAAAACTTGATGCTATCATTGATCCAGAGTTTGCAGAATCATTTAAAGCACAACAAAGTTTGCAGAAAAGATTGCACGAATCTGAACCACTGCCTCTCTTTGAAAAGGTGCTTTCTAGAAGTTTGTTTACTTGATGTTACCTATATACATTCCAAGCACATATTATATAAATAATCTCAGATCATCTCTCTGAATGTAGCTAAGAAGAACTCTCAACTTTGGAGAAGAAGTAACCTATGACTGTTTTTGTGATTTTGGGGATGACATTGGTGAGAATGGAGTTGAGAATGATGTTCCTGACTTTAGTCAAGAGGAAACTGATTTACCAAATGAGATGGATGATACAGATGCAGAAGGACCTCTCTGCAATGAAAAGGTTACATTCTATTAACATTCTGCTTTTGACTCTATTAGTTATCTAGGTTATCTTTGATTTGATGCCTTACATATCATTCATATGCAGCAAGGTGATGGTGCAAATACCTCTGATGGTGTTAAAGCTTTCGAACAAGAGAATCCAGATTTGCATGCAAACCTTGAAGATTTGTGTCGGGCACACCTGGTAAAGGAACAAAAGTGAAACTTTTATATTATGTATATATTTTCTATTTGTACCAGGTGTCATTTTAATTGTGTAATGATTTGGTCTCTTGTTTGCTTTTTTGATCGTTACAACTTCTCCCTCATTATAAAGAAGGAAATAGTTGTGCATATAGAGAAGGAAATGATTGTGCACACAGGTCGGCACAATATGCTAAAAACACAAAGACCACGAGACCTGGAAAAACGAATGGCCTTCGAGTTTTTCTCCTCTTTTATGCTCTGTGGGGCATGGATTAGTATGTAATAGCCTTCTTCAGCAATAATACTTTTTATATTTTGAAAAAAATTGTGTAATGATTTCTAACAATAACTTCAGTTGATATTTCTGTAGACTGATTCTAGGCACCTATGATATTTCTAGAAGCTCAGATGGTAAAAAATTATTGCACTGATTGGATGACCATTAAAAATTTTACATTATGTGCTACATCCAGAAAAAATAATTGCTTAATGTGCGGATCTGAACTTGTCTTACCTGCATAACTGCATTAATACAATTCTGTGAATGGTACCTGATTTGCCCACAACTTTCTGGACATGAACAGTGGAAGATAATTTCTAAGTTTTTGGATTCACCTCTCCCTCTCTCTCTATCCCTTTTTCATAAGTTATTATTCCTGCCTTTGTCATGTAAGTGATAATGATTTTTCTGGATGCAATGTCCTACTACTCTTATCTAGCTCAGTTGTACTGAAAATGGTGATTTCTTTAATGATTGGATTCAGCTCTCTCATATGTTATAGCTCCTACCTTTATCATGTAAGTGATAATCATTTTTCTGGACACACCATCTAACCACTTTTATCTCAATATCCACTTCGAATCAGTATTTTCAAATTCAGTTATGCACATGATAATTACTATAGGTTGATCTATGTCTGATTTAAACTGGTTGCGGTCCAATCATACCAACTACAGATAATATGAAAATACATGTAAGGTAGATAATGATGAGTATCAGATGAATTAGTTACGTTACCAATATAAAAGTAGGGCATTGATTCAGACCTATTAGTGATGTTATGTGGATAGGACTGAAAAGCTAATCTGATAATGTAATAGACATGGACATTGATGGATGTTTGCTGTTACAATAAATATAATATATGAATGAAATCAGTGCAACAGTGGCAAACGAGAGGCACTTTTCCTTGGATCTTGTGTCCCACAGAATCATTCCAGATGTATCTGTGAGTTGGATGCTATCCAACCGGCTGATTATATGCTTTAAAAATCAACTGCAAAGATGATATTTTAAGTAAATTCTTTGGTTTTTAAAGGTTTTTAAAGGTTTTTTAACTTCTAATGTATTAGATTCTCAAGATGTTAAATTATAATTCTTTTATATGATTATTTGACAGTACTTTTTCTCCTGCTTGTGCCTGCATCGGTTTTGTCTTCTTGATGTATTTAACAATAACTCATCCAGTGACACATTCAGATTCAGTTCATGTGTAGGTATCATTATAACACTGCAAGGTGTAATCTTGGGTGATTTCACATGTCCAAAGTAGACTCAGTTTCATTAGTCAGGAAAGTCAATTGGGTTTGAAGATCAAGAAGGATAATGTTAGTAACAGCATATCTCAACTACTATAACATGAACCAATGTTTTAAACTCTGATATTGGTTACAACATCTTGTATGATACCTAGGTACCTAATGGTAAACTGATCTGTGCCATCTGATATTTATAGAAAAATTTATAAAGAAGTGATACGTCGAGTGATACTAAATTGAATGGATACTGATGTTTGATCGAACCGGTAAATCCTGGTTGGTGTGTGTACCGATACAATTGGTATTATAAATCTCGACACAAACAACCACCGGCTGTGGACTACACATGCATGAAGATGTTGTGAGAAATATATCCGATGGTCTTGATAAACGAAGCCTCTATTCTTTCTCTTATTTGGACTTGTGGTTGTCTATCCTCGAGGACCTCAAGTCATTTGAGACAAATGTCTTCTGTCCTTAATTTTGAGTAAGATAAACTTCTCTTCCCTTCCATGTATATTGGTACATGCAGTCTAGCATGATATGTGCATTGTTGGACTATTAAGGATGTTGTTGGTAACATAGCTAAATGGTGAGACAGGGATACATAAAATTGGAAATAATATCGATGAAACTTGTGTTGCACAGGTGTTTGTAAAATTGGATTCTCTCAAGTTTTGTTTCATAATCTTTTTATGGTTAGCTTGTGACTATATTTTGTGTTTTTTGCTTCGTAGTAACTACCATTAGTTTATATATATATATATATATATGGGGTTTGCTATGCAATTGATTGCTTTCAAACTGTGGTATAATATATTGGTATAGGATTCCCTGCTTGCTAGCATAGCCGAAACTGAGAAGCAGACAGAGATGGCTGCACGGGTTTCAACTTGGAAGCAGCGAGTTGAGCAAACTTTGGAAGAGCAAGTAAGTTATAGGAACCTGTTTCATGTACCTGCTGTTCAGATCTATATCATAGTACAAAAAAATACATTTATTCTGGATTTCATAAAGCATTTTCTTTTTTATAAACTTCATTTTACAGGAGATATGCCCGCCTTTTGATATTCACTTGTATGGTGAGAGAATCTTGGACAAACTTTTGATAGAAGCAGAGAGTGGAGACGGCATACCCTTTACAAATGTTGTTAAGGGTCAATCCAAACATGAAGTTGCTAGAATGTTTTCTGCACTGCTGCAGCTGGTTTGTACTGGTTTCTTATTTTCTGCCTATTGGCAAAAATTTTCTTGGAACGATGTGCTATCGAACTATTCTTTCAAGTAAATCAATATTTTTGTTCTTATTTCTAGTGGTACTTTTCTGATTCTCATTTTTTTGTGTCAGGTAAATAATGGGAATGTTGATCTCCAAACAGCTCCAGCCAAGGGTGAGCTAGTATGCCACACGGATTTAAATCCTTTTTATGTCAAGCTCACTGGCAACGGTAGCAGAAGAGGGGAAATTAATGACCGTTCAGCAAGGAAAAGATTGAAGTCACCTGTTAGAAAAGTGTGCAAGAAAACTAATTTCTCTACTTCAGAGGCCATCTCACCCTCAAACTCAGCAGCTCAGAATGGCAGGTTCTCTGCTAAGCTTGGTAAGGGCAGCATCATCAGGTTTACACCTGATGGGAAAAGAAGACGAAGGTCTGCTCGTTTTATCGAACCATTTGATTTACGGTCTACAGGCTGATGTAAAGCAACTCGCTTCTCAGCCCAATTTGTTGTAACAAATGGTTAGGTATTTTCAGTACTGTAACACCAGTTTCATGTCTGTGGGAAGGCATGTGTATTACTAATTTATGGTTCTTGTACATCATTTATTAATACAAGCCTAGGTTTTTCATCTTTTCTATTTTATCTATAGCCTGCCACAATTAATGGTCATGGTCAGATTAAGTTTGATGACTGAACAACTTACATCCCAGGTTGTTAGGGTGTATTATTTTAGTCTAGATGAGGTATACATTGTAAAGTGGGTGTTGAGTTTCTGCCTCTTTTTTCCTCTATATCTATTGTTTGATATCGGGCTGGACATCCAAATTCTTGTAGCCCTGAATAACTTGACCATATATGTGTTTGAGGTACAATGCAACAAATTGTATCAGATAGATTGTATCAACAGATTGTGTTTGACCATATATGTCTTTTGCTTGTGCAGGAACCAAAATTGGCAACCCACCTTGGCTCCATAAATGCATCTGACGTTGTCAGCCATTTCCTAGCCGGAGGAAGACGGTGGCCACATGAGGCTCCTTGTTTTTACCACCGTCGACGTTTCTGCAGAAGATAAGTATTCTTAGCATCTGATCCTCCTTGTCAATGCTGTCAATTATTTATGCGGTCCTCGTTGCTTGCACTACCTTTTGCTTTAAATCTATTCAGGCATTGCATGGGCAGCACTCCACCCAGCTGACCTGAGTTCCTTGGCAGGACAGAGTCCGGTAATTGTGACTCTCAAGTTTGGATGAGAACTCTCCATCAAGCCATCTTGCCAGAGATGCCAAGTGGATGGCAGAAGAAGAATCAGCCCCATGCAGCTGAACTACCACTTGCGTGGATTGGGGTTTATATTTAATCTCTTTCTTCATGACTTATCATTTCAAAGTAGTATGGGGAGGATAGGAAGGACGATATCTCGCCAGAAACACCAAAGTGGATGCCGGAAGAATCAGAGTCCCCCACGCAGCTGACCGACCACTTGTCTCAACTGGGTTGCACTACTTACTACTTTCCTCGTGACCTGCCACTCGCAAGATGTAGCGCTGCATCGTTGCGAAACAGTACGTGTGAGATCGGCAGGACATGACATCGACAGCGAACCAAACAATGCTTTGCAGCATCAAATGGGAAGTTATATTTTCTGCCTTTAGTTAACTGCAACATAATTAAAAGAAAAACTTAGTCGTATTTTCCTAATAATGTCTTTGGCTAATCATGAATGATAGATATTCAAAAATAGCTAATATTTCCTATGTACTCTTAAAACCCTTTTCCTTTTTAAGATTCCTGTTCTTTGTAATTTTTCTCTTCCTTTTTGCTTTGGTTCGAATGCTAGAAAAAAACATTTTAAGTTTTAGATATTCGAAGTAAAAGCTTCCACTAAACGACGCTTTCATCTTAAAAGTCATATGTATATGTACTTGTTTTATTAAAAGTGGACAACTGTGATCAAACTTGTAAGGAAGCAAAGACTGAATTGTATTCATGTGTCATCGCTATAATTCGAGTCCATTCTTTTATGCCCTCCCCCCCCCTACTCCTCCTATCTGTTGTTTTTCTCATCTGAATCATCAATGGATTCCACTCGGATGAGAACAGCAAAACACATTAAGAAAGTGTTCTTTTATGAAGAGAATACCATCCCCTGATAGCCATGATGATGTTTTTATAATCGATAGCCTAGCAAATGACCACAAACTGATGATGCAAGAAGATGCAGAGTTCAACTAAAAGAGTCCTCAAGTGTCCTAATATAAGATTCACCACGAAGGGTCAACCAGATAGATCCCTACTAGTACTAGTTAATCGAAGCATTTGTTGTGCCTCCTTAAGGCATCATAAAGGCAACTTGATGGTGAGTTGATTCCGAAAGCAAAAACCATCACGCTAATGAGATTGGATTTTCTTTTGTTTAGAAAGTCAACGGTTGTGGAGCGGAGATCAGAGAATGGTTAGAAGACCTTACAATCATTTCGACTCCATATAAATAAATGCAGCTTAGAGACTATTATTAGCCTGCAAAGCAATCAAGTCGACCAAGCTAACTTACGACATGTCTTTATCTCCTCTTAGATCTTCGTCCAGAGGTTGATAATTGTTTTATCCTAATATTGCATGATGAAAGATTCTGTCATGTCATTTATTACTCACATGATTACGTGCCTTAAATCTGTGGGTCTTCAAGAGGTTTTTAGCTGCAAGTAGATCAATTTTATGTTGTTCTTTGTTCCTTTTGATCTTGATCATGTCGGAATTTTGATTCTGTAAAGACCAGCAGATGATCTAAACTGCAGGCAGGCCGGCAGGCAGCAAATTGCATGAACTCGGTGCCTACTGCCATGCTGTTGCTTGCTCCCATGCACCTCAGTTTCATAGATGGTTTTTCTTGTTCTGGATTGAAGATAAAAGAGGATGCAATCAATCCAATAAAGAAAACAATTTTGCTGCAAATGAAGTAAAGATCAAATCTTTTTTCTTCTCATAGAAAATTTGATGAAGAATATAATAAGTCATACAGTAAATTCAATTGGCACTTTTCAACCTATTATTCTTCATCTCAAATGTCACACTCTGCATTGCCTACCTCAATCTGCACTCTTCTCTGAGGTGTGCATGTCGGATGCAGATTACCTCCACCATTTTGATCTCTGTGTACCTCCCTCTACCACCGTCTTCCCTATATAAAGCCCCTTCCTCCCAACCTTCCTTCCTCACTCTTGAGATCTCAGGGAAGAGAAGATAACAGCTCTTTGTGTATTTGCCTTCTTGCACTCAGCCATGTCTCTGCTCACAGATCTTATCAACCTCAACCTCTCTGACTGCACTGAGAAGATCGTTGCTGAGTACATATGGTATGTCACTTTGTTCGTCTGAAAGTTCCTTCTCTTGTTCTACTCTGTCCTTCTAGCTTTAGATTATTGCTTGTTTTTTGGATATAGTTTTCTGCCATTTGGTCTCTAGCATTTTGTTACTGTTGGATTTTGTACAAACATCAAAATCAAAAAGCGGATTTTTTTTTTCTTCTTCGTAGAGTCTGAGGATTTCTCGTGATAGGATGATGAATTATTGAATGAGATGGGTTGATCTGAGGAGTCTTGTTTCTTTCTCCTCCTCGAATCTAATGTGAAGTGATGGTGCCTTTTGTTTTCTCTGTGTGCATGCAACAGGGTTGGGGGGTCCGGCATGGACATCAGGAGCAAAGCAAGGGTATATAGATCATTCAAATTTATCATGTTCTTTGCTTGCTGTCCTGTTTGATTGATGTACACACGCTTCCGATCGGCAGACGCTCTCAGGCCCTGTCGGTGACCCCAGCCAGCTTCCAAGGTGGAACTATGATGGTTCGAGCACCGGCCAAGCTCCCGGACAGGATAGCGAAGTGATCCTCTAGTATGTGCTCGCATTCCTCTTCATTGTGATCTTTGTTTGGTCAAGTTCTCATCGTCTTTGTCATGAGAGTTGGACACTCTTCTTGTCTACAGTCCTCAAGCTATTTACAGGGACCCTTTCAGGAGGGGCAACGACATCCTTGTAAGTCTATTTTGGTATCTTCGTTTTGGGCTTCCTTCATGAGAAGTGATTCCTTTGTTTCCTATTCGAGGTTATGTGTGATTGCTACACACCACAAGGAGAGCCGATTCCCACCAACAAAAGACACAATGCTGCTAAGATCTTCAGCAACCCTGCTGTTGCTGCAGAAGAAACCTGGTACAGCTTTGGTTTATGTTGTCTTACACCTGATGATTTGTCTGAGGTTGGTCTACAAAGGTTACCACCAATGCGATGTTTGTTCTTCCGTTGATAGGTTTGGGATCGAGCAAGAGTACACTCTCCTCCGGAAGGATGTCAAGTGGCCTCTTGGGTGGCCCATTGGAGGCTTTCCTGGCCCCCAGGTAATTTGTTCCTCAATCTCGATTTGTAGAATCTCTAATTATTAGGGACATGAAAACATGGTCTCAACAGATCTATTGTAGCTGAAGCAAATCTTGTGTTCTCCCAACTCATAAATCTTTGACTGGTTTGATGATGGCATGCTATTATTTCATATGAATTGTTAACAGTATGAAACCCTAGAGGGATAGGAGCTTGTGGTGTAACTCGGGCAATGGATGTGAACTTGTAACAGGGCCCTTACTACTGCTCCGCTGGTGCTGACAAAGCTTTTGGGCGTGACATTGTTGATGCCCACTACAAAGCCTGTCTCTATGCGGGAATCGACATCAGTGGCATCAATGGAGAGGTCATGCCGGGCCAGGTAAATTGGAGTCCTTTTATGGTGTTAAAGGTTGGTCTTCTTGCACTTGTCGTCACCTCTGGGCAATGTCATGCGTGCTGCAGTGGGAGTTTCAAGTAGGGCCTTGTGTTGGCATCTCGGCTGGTGACCAGCTGTGGGTTGCTCGCTACCTACTTGAGGTAATGCCTGACCCAGAAAGACGTATGATTTGATTGGCGATTTCATACTTCTCTTATATCGTGTGAAGCGATTTGAGTTTCCAACTTAATAGTACTTGGATCTCTCTGCGAACAGCGAATTACCGAGATCGCCGGAGTGGTGCTTTCCTTTGATCCAAAGCCGATTCAGGTGACGTCAATCTGTTGTCTTGATCTGCAAACATGAATTCATGTCTTGTGTCGATAGCATTGTGGTCGCTTTGTGACTGTTTTGGTGCTTCAGGGTGATTGGAATGGTGCTGGTGCTCACACGAATTACAGGTGACACAGTTCATACCGATGCCATCAACGAGATGGTTGGGGATCAAGTTTCTGACTTTCCTTTGCTAACATCTTTTTTGTTCCTTTTGTAATTGTCAGTACTAAGTCCATGAGGAGTAATGGAGGGTATGAAGTCATCAAGGAGGCAATTCAGAAACTTGGCCTGAGGCACAAGGAGCACATAGCTGCCTATGGAGAAGGGAACGAGCGCCGCCTCACCGGGCGCCATGAGACTGCTGATATCAACACCTTCGTTTGGGTACATGATCCTGATCGGTACACCTATGTTATATTCACAAAAAAGAACTTGTAATCCTTAGCTTCTTCTCATCATCGACAGGGAGTAGCGAACCGTGGGGCATCGATTCGTGTTGGACGTGACACTGAAAAGTCTGGCAAAGGTCGATAACATCTCTTTTTCGATCGAAATTGGGGTATCCTTCTGTTATTTATCAATTAAAAGATACATGCCATACTAAAATGGATGTGTTTTTGCGCATTTACTTGATCAGGTTATTTCGAAGACCGAAGGCCTGCTTCCAACATGGATCCTTATGTTGTCACTTCCATGATCGCAGAGACTACCATCCTTTGGAACTCAGCTTAATTGCAAGTGATCAGCTGTTTGTGTCTCATTTCTGCTGGATCTTTGCCTGTGGGGTTGGTTCTCTTGCATTGCATCTGATAGTTCGGAGGGAATGATTGCCTTGTGTTGAAGATGAGGCACGAAATTTAGATTGAGTTGGACTCGATCCATTTTCCTGCCTTAGTTGTCGCTTGTTGTTCCAGTTATATCAGTAATAAAAGTACATTACCAGCAGAGATGAAACTGTGTCACTGTTGGAAGTGGATTGTTTGATGCTTTTTGTTGGGCTGATGATCCCTTTGTTTTAATTTATTCTTCTCTAAATAAATGTAGAATTTATCATTATGAATATGACTGAAATTTTCCTGTTAGATCACAATGAAACTGCCCATGTCTGTTATGAAACTCAATGAATACTTTTTTCCGAAAAGCAAAAGGGGATTATACTATTTCCCATGTCGTTGATCTGTCTTTAAAAAAAAAATCATTTATTGCACAAAAATGGATTAATGTATGCGTCTAACTTCTAAATATACGTTTTTGGTAGTTCGATCATATGTCTATCCTCATAACGTTAAAAATAAATATATCTCTTATTGCACAAAAAAATTAAGGGATATTGTCTGAATCTCTAAATATATTATTTTCACTCGTTATACAAAAAAAAAAAAAGTTTATGTGTGCCATCTTAACCTTTAAACATACTATTTTTCAGATCACTTACCCACTCTCAAAAACAAAATCTACTCAATAAAATATACTATTTTTCAGATCACTTATCCCCTCTAAAAAATAAAATCTGAACATAAGGGGTGTTGCGAGAATCGAACTCGCGACCTCTCGCACCCGAAGCGAGAATCATACCACTAGACCAAACACCCGATGTTGAAATTTTCTTCCATTTATATATATATATATATATTATAAATAAGTCAACTATTGCTCACTCATCATGCTTGCTCACCTATCGCACCTACTTGCCATCATCGACATGCACAATTTATTAACCTATTCAACATCAAAAGGCATATATCAAGCTCTCACTTGTTCGTTAAGCTCTTCAATTGAGAAGTTGCAGGCGATCACTTCTTGTTTTTTTGGTGTTTAAGAGCGATGGGATAGCTTACTCAAAGCCTTGCATGTGAATGGGCGAAAGAAAGGATTCAAGCAAAATGTGTCTCCCAAGGTTACGATAGAACTCCAATCAATCAACACATAGCTTAGGAGCGACATAAAGCGACGAGTGAGCAGGTGTGACGGGCAAGGGGGTCAGTGACAAGCAAGTAAGTTGGAAAGAGAAGAAAATGAGAAAATCGAGAGAAATTTATTTAAAATTAATAATTTAAAATATAATAAAAATATGTTTTTATCATTTTCATTCGTGTTCTTTTTGCACGTGTGATTTTTTTTTATCAAAGAAGTTAACATCGTAAGAAAAATAAGGATAAAATATTTTATTTTCGTAAGTATATGAATCTTAAAGTTATTTTTAAAAATAAAAAAAATCAAAATACTAATCATAATTAACTACTTTGAGTATCAATCTGAATGTAAACCTAGAACCTTGAGGGAAACAGTCGGGAGCTTTTGTTCCCGATGGTCTGCACAATCCTTTTTTTTTCTTGAATCTTTGATTGAGCCGATTTTTTCTGGTAGAAGGCTCTAAGTTGGGTGATGGGAGTTCGTTTCTGATCATTCTATCTATTCTACGTACATTATGGACTTGTGGAGGTATGGTATGGATTGCATCACCTGCGATACAATCCATAACAAGGATTGCACAATTGATTTTTAATTGTTGTCAGACACAATTCATACTTCTCTCGAGTGTTCAAATTGCTATTGTTACTTACCCCTGATTGATTTTTCAGCCTCCTGCAAATCTCTGTCTCTTTAGTGGACATTGATATGGTAACCATGTTCCAATTTCAATTTAGTTTTTCCCATTAATCAATAAAGTTTTTGAGTCCAAATATAATTGGATATATCGTAAATGGAACTTAAAAGAGCGTTTTTTAGTTTTTCTTGAATTATTAACTTATGTGGTGTATTTTTTTTAAAATGAGAAATATCATAATTGGATATACAGTTGTGAATGTTGAAAGATATAAAATTTTTGCTTGTTTTTTTTTTTTTGTTCTTTCTGTTTTATAAGAAGTCCTTCTGCCACTTCCAATTTAACACGAGTAGTTGGGAATATTATATCATTTTTCCAAGAATATAAAAAGTTTGTTATTGCTTTAAATATCTCTTTTAAAAATTTAGTTTACGTTTCATTTTTCAGTGAATGATGATCGGAAAATGATTAAATTAGTTTTTCAATCTAATCAACAAAATTGCATTGGCAACAAAATTTGGGCTTCTCCGTAAAACCCTCACCCCAAAAAAATGGAGGAAAAAAATAGTCGATAATAACAAACCAACGGGGATGAGGACGAGGAGCTCTCACCGACGAAGTTTTTGTTAAAATGTGACGAAGTTTTTGTTAAAATGTGAGTAAGTTTTAATGGCAGCCAATCAAAAGTAAAATTATGTTTTGCTAAATAATGGTTTAGTTAAAATGTCTATATAAAAGTTATAGAAGTTGATGAGTTTATTACTATTAATTTCAGTTTAAGTATTTTGATTAATGATTTAAGTTAAACGAAGTTAATGGGTCAGTTAGTTTATCAAATTCGAGTCGTCACATTTGGTATTAGAGTCGACTTAGTATTAGGGCATGATAAGAGGATTCGAGTAGGAAAGTGTTTTCCGTGAATGAAGTTAGATGACTCATCATGATGTGAAGTTACCATTGAGTTACGCCTAATATGTGCATGTTAGGGTTTGATCTGAACTATACTGTCCCGAGAATCTTAAACATTTGAATAGTAAAAATTGTAACACTCTGAAAAATTATAACAAAAGCTAATATTAACTTATAAAGGTTTGATCAATGGTTTAAATTAAATGAAATTAATTGGTCATTTAGTTTATTAGGATAAGGTCATGACACAAATAATATTTATTAAATTTTTAATCTAATTTATGTAAAAATAATTTAATACTAATAAAATAATAATCATAATAATTATTAAATATTAATAAATAAAAATTTTATATGGTAATTGTAATCATGATAAATATAAATCATACCTTTATATAAAAAATAAATATTATTTTATAATTTTAAATATATGTATATGAATAACTATACAAATATAAAAAAATAATAATTAAAATTTAAGAATCACAAACAATAAAATTTATCATTAATATGCCATATGAGAAAACTATAACAGAAATTTGTAATTTATATTTGTTTAAATTCAGTATGAAACCTTAAGTTCAAAATTGAGTTAAACATCAGTTTAATTAGATTAATCAAAACTAAAGTTGATCAAAGTTAATAATTGATCAAATTTTAACTTTCTCCTAATTTGATCAAAACGAGATTGATCAAATCTAAATATAATCAAGTAGCTAAAAAGTAATCAAAAATAAATTCGATAAAAAAAAATTAAGGATCGACCAAAATTGGGGCTGAATCAAAATTAAAGTTTGACCAAATCAAGATGGTCAATAATTTAACAGGTCAAAATAGGGCATTGATCGAAGTCAAAATTTGGTCAAAATAGGATATTAATTAAAGTCAAAATTAGATTTTGATCAAAGTCAAAATCATATAGTTGTCAATCTAAAAGGCCAAATTTGATATTTTGATTTAGTCAAAATTAGGGCTAAATAATCAAAATGTTGTAATTTTTCTCTTTGTGGTTGGCTCCGCATCGCATCGCAGCTTCCTTTGCTGTGGCGTTGTCTTAGCCATCGCCGTAGTAGCTTTGTGCCCACGCCATCGTCACTCAATGCACATCGTCGTCGTCGCCATTCACTATTGTACAATGGAGCAGTCGTTGCAGCGTGCATTGTGTTTCGGTTGCCACAGTGCAGGATCGTCCATCGCTGCACTACGGAGCGACTGTCATAGTGCACCGCCGTCTGTGCTGTGATGTTTACCATCTGTATGTTTGACTAACTCTTCCTACCGACTGAAGTGTCCAGCTAAGCTAATCAATCTCTTTATAGTTTGACTTGCCTCCCACAAGCTTGATGTAGTCTCCTAGTGATCTTTGGTTAGAGGGAAGAGAGATCTTTTGCATATTTGTTCTGAAACGTGAACCCAAGTAGATGGAAAAAAGCTGGAGTTGCTGCAGCTGCTGCTGCTGATGATGATGATGATTTCTGCGAAGCTGATGAAACCAATGGCCAATTTTCCTTTGAGCTTATCCAGTAAGGAAAAGGATCAGATGCGTGTTCCACTGCGGCATGAGCTTGCGTCCAAGTTCCAAAAGAAGCCACACATACAGAGAGATCGAAACACTCCGCTCGACATAGATTCTATATGCTTTTATTCCGGCTGAGTGCAGATATCATCGAAAGATAAACGCAAAGGACCATATGAAAAGGCTATCCACCAATAGATGTTGGGAATCTATGAGCGTCTTTTGCTATATGTATGTATGTATGTGAGTGAAGACATCAGCAGCTAAAATGCAAAGGACCAACGAAAAGGACATCCACCAACCTAGTTTAAATCCACAAGAAAACCTAGAGCCATGTTCTCCGAGAAATCTGAATTCACTTCAAAAATACTAAATGAACTATTTAATATATAAGATTCTTCTTTTATATGAACGCATGATTATGGACAAAATAAAAGCAATAATCTTGTCTTTTAACCTCGGCCATGGTCTCACCTTAGCAAGTGTGTATCACATGCATCCACACAAGCGATTGTGAGGTCACATAGGTGTCCACTTCCACTTGGGATTATAATATACGTAACCAAAGGATCATCACAGATGAATTCATGGAAGTCATTATCAATCACCACAATCGTGACTTCCACGTATAATCCTCTAATTAATATATATATGTGTGTGTATATATAAAAGAATTTTAAGTATCGAACGTCACAACTGAAGACGAGAACTTGGAATCGATTGGTGAGTGTGCAAGTGTGAGCCTTTGCATTCCACTTTCTCTGTTGTCTATTGGTAAAGATAAAAGCATTTGTTGTGTTTCTTAGCCAGCTTACATGATAAAAACTGTGATCGAGAAAGATTTTAGAATCAAATCTCATCCTTATCGATTACTCTTTGCTAAGAGAATAATCTTATTTAGTGATCTTTATGCTCCCAAATAATAAAAAAGGATTGCTACTTAATAGATCTCCATAAATTTATAATATTTTTTTAAAATTAATTTGATAATCAAATTCGACTCGGATGAGTTAAAAAGTATAGATCAGAAAAGCATAAAAAAAATCCTTTGATCATCAAATTAGTAATAAAATTATATAGATC